TCGATTAATTCATTAGGTTGTTATCTAACTCATTGACCATAATAATCATTAATGATGTTTGGTCATTCCAACATTCCATTTATTAACGGCTCCTTTATACTAACTGGACCATTTCAACTTCAATATGAGAAACCGAGAGTTCACTTATTTCTTTACTGAAGCACATCTCCAAACACTTTTATCTTCCACTACACAAGTCAACATCATTGTTGTCCGCCTATCATGATTATCTTTATATATTACGTTATTTGTCTATCCATCCCCAGTTAATACAAAAATGCCTAATAACAATCAACTATATTAGCATGTACTAAGAGCACAAATTGGCGCTATATCCAACATTGTATTTTTTGATGCAATTCTATAAAAACTTATGAATTTTAAAATGAACAAATAATAATTTACATATGAATTAAAGCTTGCTAATAGGATAAAATGTGCTCAATATGAATGAACTCTAAATAAAATTGCATAATAATTTGATTTACATATGAGTGGTTTAAAAGCATTAGACATATTGATGACTTGCTCTTTATTTTTTAGCAATTAATTATCATACTAAAAATTTTTAATTCCCTTCGAGATGTTATTCATCATTTCCCCTGATTTCCCCCACCTCAAAACATAGATCATGCAACATGAAAAAATCAAAAAACTTAGATTTTTTACAATAAACTCCTATTTTACTTCAATTCTATTCAAAACTTCACTAAATTATATTTTTACCTAAAAATGTCCTCCCTTCATTTCCACGCCTATAATATTCCCAATCAAATCAATTTGTTAAAAAGGATAGAAAAATCAAATATGTAGCTCAAAATCTAACTTTTCTTCCATTTTTTATTTTTCCTATTTACACTGATGAGGAGTTCGTAGATGGTGCAAGGATCCAGAGAATGGTTAGAATGATTGTGAGAAGAGATTAAACACAAAAAAAACTTAAATGAAGATATTTAAGGAGGAACAGCGAGGCTACAACGACGTCTTGTGTGTAAACAAGCAAGGGAAAGGATATTGACATACATTCAAAGGTATTCGAAAGTCTAGAAGATCCATTACCTTTCCTCAATCAACTACAATCACACTGCTTAAAAGAGAGTAAACACTCCATGTACAGAAAAAAACAGAGAAACAAGTCTCCAATAACGTATAATGAGACAAAAAATCTCCAAAATCAGTTCAAAACAAAAACTATCAAAACAACCTCAATCCTAATTAAAGCAATTAAAAATAAGGCCTAAGGAGATGGCCGACCTAATAAGGTTGAGAAACCCTAATTCGAACCAGTTCAAGTCATCCCAAATAGCCCCAAGACGGACATCCAAGGCTCCCACCCATTGAAGTGAAAAATAATGCTCATGCATCATCCCTTCTCTCCATCGGTTCCTTTTTCTATCTTTCTTTTCTTCTCATATTCCTCATTTTTTCTCTTCTTCCTCAAAATTTTGTCCTCCCTGACTTCTATATGAGAACTCTGAAGTCTCTGACGCGGGGGCTTCCCCTGGTCGCGGCATAGTAGCAGCTACAATATCGCGGATGCGGTACTATAGCTGCCACAGTACCACCGCCCAACCCTTCTCCCCTTTCATTTTTCGTTGCCCTCCCTCTTCATTTCCTTTTCCATGATTCTCCTATTTTATTTATTACCTATTCTATGTCTGTTTTTTCTATTTCTTTCTTTTCTTAAGTATTGCCTATTTTATTTACAAATTCCCATTATGCATGTGTTGTTGAGTGCTTTAGAAGGCAGTTTTTGAAGACCGTAGATTTTTGAGTGCTGAATTTGAAGTATTCTTCCCCTCTGAAGGTTGTAATCGATGATGAGAAAGTGCTTCGGCTGTAACTCGTTCGAGGTGGTGACCATCTCCAAGGGCCCGAGTGGTGCTCCGGTTGTCACTCAACCCTAAAAAGACATTTATCCTTCCGTAACCCCCTCTGGCCCAGCATCCAGTAGCCACAAACCATCCAATTTGTTGTTGTCCAGACCTCGTCATTCATTTTCAGGGTGCTGCCCAGCATTCCGACTGTTGTCTAGATCACATCATCCCACTTAAAATTCCAGCCCAGCATTTTGGCTGCTGTCCAGACCACACCATCCCCCTTCCGACTGCTATCTAGTCTCTCAACGACCCCTCCTACCTGCTGCCCCTACATCCAACCGCGTGTTTTCCAACTCCAAAGCCGCAGCCACCCCGCTACCATCGTGACCGACGCTCACATCCAGTCCTCTGGACTTTTCATCATCTAGAGAGGGTTGTTTTTGTCGTGTGTTATTTCCTTTGTCTTATTTTTGCCTTCATTATTGTTGTTTATTTTTTACATGTGTTGTCATTTGTTTCATTTTCGCAAGAGTCCATTTATATCCTTTTGAATTCAATAATAATAATTTTGCTTTTCATTGTGGATTGGACTTCCTCCGGTATTATTTGGTATTAGAGTTATCCCAACCCTAGTCCTGTCCTAGGGTTCCCTAGCATCTCGCCCCCACCCAAGCCACCACCACCAAAAACTTTCTGCCCTAAAAGATTAAATGAATGAGATCGAAGCTCCCCCAATCCTGGGGGAATGAGGAGCTTTCCTGGGACGTGGTACTGTAGCTGCTATAGTACCACGGCCCAACTCTTCTCTTGTTCCTTTTTTATTTCCCTCCCTATTCCTTTCCTCTTCCATAATTCTTCTATTTTATTTCTTACCTATTCTATGAGGCCTTTTCTATTTTTCATTTTTGAAGCATTACCTGTTCTGTTTACAAATTTTCATTATATATATGTGTTGTTGAGTGCTTTAAGAAGCGGTTTTTGATGAGTATAGATTTCTGAGTGCTTCCTTTGAGGCGTTCTTTCACTCCGAGGGTTGTACCCGACAACAAGAAGGTGCTCCGGCTATAACTCGTTTGAAGTGATGACTGTCTCCAAAGGTCTGGGGGGTGCTCTAGCTATAGCTCGTCCCGTACTATACATTTATCCTTCTGCAAGACCCTCTGGCTAGGCTTCCAGCTTCCTCAAACCATCCTCTCTGCTACTATTCAGACCCCGCCATCCCTCTTAAGGTTGTTGCTTAGCATTCCGATTGTTGTCTAGATCACACCATCCCTTTTAAGGATGCTCCCCATCATTCCAGCTGCTGTCCAGACCACGCAATCCCCCTTCTGGCTGCTGTCAATACTATCCGCAGTCCTCCTATCTTCTGCCCCTACTTCCACTGCTAATTTTCCACCTCCAGAGACACAACAACCACTGCTAGCATGATCGATGCTCAACTCATGACCTCTAGACTTCTCGCCATCTAGAAAGGGTTGTTTTTGTCATGTGTTATTTCCTCCATCTTGTTTCTACCTTGGTTATTGCTGTTCACTATTTACATGTGTTGTCGTTTATTTCATGTTTGCAAGTCTCGTTTGTATCATTTTGAATCCATTAATAAAAATTGTATTTTTCATGGTGGTTTGGGCTTTCCTCCAGTATCACTCTCAACTCTACCTCAGCAATTCACGAGATAGAGGTTAAAGGAAAATGAAAATAAAAAGTGAGAATGCTTAATAACTTGAGTTATTTATATAACCATAGTTAAAGTTTTTATCTACATTCATATATAACATAATATGGTATTAGAAAAAAATCCTATCAACCACACGGTCTCATCAAGAATACCTATGAACGTGGGCTCGGCAATGCTATACTGTTACAATAAATTGCTCCAGTGATTTTAATAAAACAGCCAAAAATTAATTAAATATCTATTGTATATTTGAAAATTAATATATATTTCTGTATATAAAAAAGTTCAGGATAAAGCATAGTATTTGATAAAAAAGATTTTGATGATTTTTGGAATGTGTAAAAAATGAGGTATGATTTAGAAGCAAATTTTAACTTGCTCTTTTCTTGCCACTTATAGGGTTTACATAAACCCTGATTGGTCACTGAATTAAATACCAAAAATGCACCAGAGAAATTACAATAAGCACAGGAAGAAAAAGGTGCATTAAATGCACGTATGTTGGATCCCTTCCCAAAAAAGCATTTCTAGTTGCCCAAAACACACGAAACTGGAAGTCACAGTATCGGTTTAGGAAATACAACAAATAAGAAATAATTAGAAAGGAAATTAAATAATTTCTAAGACAGCACCATCGAAAAGGAAAGAAATTAAAGTACAACAAAAATAATCTCTTAGCTTCGCTTTTCAGCTAGAATCTTTATTTCTATGATTTTTAATCACTCTACAAGAGTGCAGTTGCCCTTTAACCGCTGTAATTAGTTGCAAAAAACTCTAACAAACTAACTGAATACAGATACAATTCAATTATTTATTTCAATTTGCATGTTCTATTACTCTTACGAACTTTAAAAAATTTGTATCCACATGGGTTTGTATCTCGGCTGACGCCTATCTAATTTGTTTGGAGCTTCCAATCATAAGATGAAGAGCGATGTCAAAGCCGAATGAACCGAATGAGAGAATTAGATGTTTGAAGAATTCCATAATTCAAATTAAGCATAGTTGATAATTAATCATTCTCTTATGTTAAATCGGCGTTGAAGTTGATGAGATGGTAAGAATGGTTTAAGGAAAAAGATCTTATATATATATATATATATATATATGATGTTTAGCTATTTTCAGTCATGGTTGTTAATGCGAAGATTTACTAAACTTACTCAGTTAATTTTGCATTAGCAGATCATAAAAACTTGAAAAGCAATCAAAATCCAACAGGCATTTAAAAAAAAGACCATTGTGATTAAATGCAACGTTAGACCACTATGAACTACCTATATTCCAATAATAAATGATATGGATGCATAGCTCATACCATATATATTTTTTCCTATTGAAGCTACAAAATTCTGTCAAATTTAAGAGACATGCAAATGAAAAGAGGTTAAAAATTCATCTCGAATAACATCTGGCTGCAAATTTGAGAAGATTCACTGTCAACATATAAGAATGAGATGAACAGTAAACCTCAAAAAGAAGAATTTTACAGAGAAACTTACCTTCCCCTTCTTCAAATGGTTCACTTCTACATTAGAATGTTCACCTAAATGATGAGAGGAATAGCCTTCTTCCCAATCTTGTTCTCTGGATATTGGAATATCCTGTATGCCAAATGAAAAGAATCCTCATTATTGTACCACAAAAATTCTTTTACAGACTAAACACTACTATTCTGAAAACATACAGGCACCGGAATAGATTGGGAAGTGCAGCTAATTAACTCTGCAGATGCATTGAGAAAGGTATCAGGGTTGGCAATCATTTCATTTCCAAATATTGAATCATGGTTTCTGTCAAATCATAAAAAATTTGAACAATAGGTTAAAAAAAAAATTCATGAAATTTTATGAAAATAAGTTGAGGAAATCATTACCTAAACATCTTATCAAGATCACCAAAGTCTTCAATGGCCCAATCATAGTCCATAAAATTGTCGTTTTCATTTTCATCATTCCCAAAAAAATCAGGCTCACCATCCAGCTGCATCTCATTGCTACTCAAGAGAATAGATGTTCGGCTTAAAGATGGCGAGGCCTTGTCACGAAGAATTCCACCAGAGTGTTTGTATTCTTCCATAAAACCCCCCATAGATTTCAGATCGACGGTATCAGCAAGGTGAGTCACCAATCCAGTTACAACAGAATCTTGAGCAATTTCATCATTGAAGCATCCACCAAATGCCATGCCTAAGTTAGGCAAATCAGGCCATGAATCCATATCAATGCTTGCATCGTTGAATTCCTGATTTGTGTTACTACTGGAGCCATTTTTCACGTTACAAACGAGAAAATTGTTTTTTGTTCCACAATCATCTTCGCACCTCTGGTTCCTGCTACACCTTTCAAACTTGCTGAAACTATTTCCATCATGTTCCTTAGGTTGGGGCACTATATGGTCTTCTATTTCTTTTTGCTCACCCCAAAATGCATCACCAACCTGGACAAGCATAAAATTTTTGGTATTAGATAATACAGTGTTATGACATTAAAGCTGCAAAACTAAGATTTTTGCAAGGTGTCAATGAAAAATGCCCTAAAAGGATTATGCTCCAAACATTTAACTTATACAAAAATAATCAAGAATTATTCCTGGGCATTAATTACTGTTCATGTATTACTGCAGCAGCGTTTTCTTTTTTCCATTTATTGTGGATGCACTAGCTCTGATATTAAGTTTAAAGACATTATAATATATATTATGACATATGTTTAAATTTAAACTTGAACACTAATTGCATTCCTCCATTAACCGTTTCCTGGAGTTGCAGCCATGAAACAAAGAGTGGTGGGTTGTTTAAAGGAAAAACATAAAGCAAATAGGAGGAAGAGAAGAAAAGGAGACGAAGAGCCTCAGGCTTTGAGCTAAGAATTTCACCGTTTTTTTTTTTTTGGTAATATTTTCAATACAATTACTTAGATTTAACATCAATAAGCATAGTGACATGCATGATAAGTTATTTGGAGGTAAAAGTCTACTTTGAGGTTGAATCGATCTGGCATGAGTTGAAATTTCGGAATAGAAAATTTTGTTTATTTCTTAGTTGTTTACAAAATGAAAGAAGTTTTGGGGTATTTGATTTGATATCGAGTATCATTATTAGAGTAATAAATGAAAATTCTAATATAGAAAATAATTTTTAAAATCTTTTAAATGCCATCTACATTTAAATTAGACTAATGAGTGAAATGTATTAGAAATTCCTCATATAGTAAAAAGCATGTTTATAGTTTAATACGCAGGTGTAAATTACCACACATAAATTTTGATAAGGCAAGCTCTCAATAAGATGTATTATTATTATACAAATATTTTGTTAATCGATAACACTTTTAAATGAATGTATCCAGTACTTGAAAATTACTCATTTATATATACAATTAATGAGTATAGTTCAAAAATGAATTGCATATTTATTTAAATGTTTAATGATGAAAATATGATGAGCTAATGTAATGTCATGCTATGGGAGATAAGTGGACAATCACAAGTTTATAAAACCTACACAGATTGAGCAAAAGCATCTCCTATGGAGTAAAAAGACGCTCAATCTAGTTTAATAGCAATATGAAGGGAGGTTTTACCTATGCTCTAATGTACTTCATGATTTAATTTTCTAGCTAAGTTTATATTTCATGTTATGTAGTGTGTATACAACTTATTACCTTATAATGGCCATTAAACCTAGATAACTACATGACACATTCTGAAACTAAAATGATATTCAAATTCAAAAAAAGGATTAAGCAAAAATATTAATTTTATGTAATTAAATAATGTGCGAATAATTTGATCATTGACTAACATAATGTAGTGAAAAAAAAAACATATGCAATTTTATTGCAATTTTTCTATTAATGTAAATCCTTGTTTAATCAAAGTTAAATCTTGTACATTATAGTAATATAATTGTCAATTATTTTAAATTTTATAATTTGCATGATGCTAGTTGTTTTTAAGTATTTGAGTTTTGTGTTAGATTTGTTTATCTTGTTGAGCCTCATAGCTCACTAGATCATTTGATTGTTTTAGCCAAAAATAAAAAAAGATAAAATGGAGACCAAGTAAAAATCATATTAAATTCTATGATCAATTTTTTGTCTCATAATTGTTATAAAATAAAGTATTTTTGAGGTAACGTATGAAACGAAAATTTTATTTTGTAGAAAAAATCTTAATTTGTAGTAGATATTTTATAAATTTATAAATCAAATATTTTTTATTATTTTCACGTAAAATTAAATGGTTTGACTCTATTGCATCTGTGTAAATTAGAAGATTGCATTTCATGTTAGTACTGACGCATTTGTGTGATTGAGGACATCACTCACACTATTCTTGTTACTAGAATATCATAATGGGTTAGGAAATAAGTTCAGTGCGTGATTGGAATAAGTTCAAAAGTTGTTGTATAAATTTTGCTGTTTAAAAGCTAGAATTCCAGAAGCAATTATTCCAAAGAAGGTACTCAACTCACATGATACTACACACACACAATCCTAAAAAAGAAAAGATATATATAAGATCAAAAAAATCAAAAGCCACCAACACGAGCAAAAAGCTAGGGATGGTTTTGTTTAGTCTGATTTCTGCCTCGAGTTCTCAGAAGGGAGTCGGCTAATAAATTGGTGAGGTGCGTACCATTACCCGAACTAATCAAAGTATCATCCATCAAATTCCTGAGCTCAAGTAGGTCTCCATTTTTCTTCTTCCATCTGGATGTGTAAACATATCATTTCTCATATGATGATTGGATTGGTCCAAAGGTGGTCGGATAGGTGTTGACTGTTGCACATCATGAACCCCATGAGCCTGAGTAACATTAACATCTTGCTCGACCTGATGAAGAAGTAGAGAAGTATTAGTAATATTGTCATCCATAACATCAATGATAGGTTCTAGGGCAGGTGAAGTCTGAAATGTCTCCCTCGCCTCCGCGAAAAGAGGTTCCAAAGATGAGGAAACTACAACATTGTGTGGAGGCTGAATGATTGACATATTGTCTGTGAGGATAGTGACATCTTCAGGGGTATCCTTTTGATGATCAATGCTGTCGATAACTTGGAGCATAACAAATTTTTATGTATCTTCATCAACTAACTCAAGACCTAACAATTAACGTTTACCCACTCAAACCCAACTTAATGGAGTTTTGTATTTTCTGTCATAAAGTACTTCATAAGGAGTCATTTGAATATTAGATCAATAACTGTTATTGTAGACGAATTCAATCATTCAAATGTGATCTTCTCAACTGCTTATATAGTTGAGAATACAAAGCCTAAAGTAATCTTTCAATGCCTGAATTGTCATTTCTGATTGTCCATCAAATTGTGGATAAAATGTTAAGCTAAAATGCAATTGTGTATCCAAGTCTCGTGGAATGTATTTCCACAACTTGGACGTGAATCTTCCATCTCTGTCAGAATAATAATTTCTGGAATTCCGTGTAGTATGATATCTTTTTTATATATAATCTAACTTTTTAATTGAATCTCTCTCTAATTGGTAAAAAATGAACTGAATTTGTTAACCTATTAATAATAGCCCAAATGCTGGCCTGACCCTGTCTGGATCAGGAAATTCTATAACAAAAATCATAATAATTTCTTCTCATATTCATTCCGTTATATCCAATGTTGTTGCAATCCGCTAGGTTTTTGATGCAAAAGCTTTATAATATGGCAATTTTTACATTTAGGCAGATTCAGCAACATCCTTCATCAAACCTAGCCATCAGAACATCAATTTCAAATTCTTGTAAATTTATGTTGTTTAAATGAATTGTGTACCCTAAGCGAAAAGCTTCATTTAATATTTCCTATTTCAAATCAAAATCAGCAGGCATCCATAACTGCAACTTGTTTTTTATAACATTATCTTCATTAAAAACCATATCCAAACTCTTTCCTGATTGAAGTTATTTCAGGAGATCTAGATATTTGCTAACTTTCTGAGTTGCCTTCATTCTATCTATCAAAGTTGGTTGTAGGATCAGCTGATCAAGATATCCAATATCACCTAGAATTCTAACTTTCAACTGTAAGACATCAATTTCTTTAATTAAATTCAACTCTTGAGTAATGATCCAGCTTGCACTACATGTGAATTTACGGCTCAAAGCGTCGACACCAACATTTGCTTTGTCAGAACAATATTGTATATTCAGTTCATGGTCTTTAATCAACTCTAATCATCTCGTTTGCCTTAGATTCAACTCATTTTGTGTGAAAATGAACTTCAAACTTTAATGATCGGTAAAGACTTCGAACTTTACACCATAAAAGTAATGTCACCAAATTTTGAGAGCAAAGACAATAACAATTAGCATAAGATCATGCGTCAGATAGTTCTTCTCATGTGGTTTCACCTGTCTAGATACATAGGCTATCACCTTTTTATTTTGCATTAAGACAATCCAGCCTCACAATGATGTTTCACTACAAATTTGAAATCTTTTTTGTTACTGATGGAATAACTAGCACTTGAGCAATGATCAAATATTTCTTCAATTCTTAAAAATTGGCTCACATTCTATATTCCACACACGTTTAATATTTTTACTCATCAGCTTGGACAACTGCATAGTTATCTAGGAAAATCCTTTAACAAACCTTCTATAATCATATCCGATCAAACTGAAAAAACAACATACCTTTGAAACATTCTTTGAAGCAAATCATTCCACAATTGCTTTTACCTTTTGAGGATTCACCAAGATTCCTTGTCCGCTGATAATATTCCCCAATAATGCAATACATAAAAAAATTCATATTTTGGCAATTTTACATATAGTTGATTCTACCTCAACGAATCCAATCGTAATTTCAAATGCTTGGCATTTAGCAAACTGATCCACATAAGAATTGAAAATTTAATTAAGTGTGTCCATAAATATAACAGAAGCATTGATTATGTCAAAAGACAACTAAGAATTCATAATGATCATACCTAATTCCAAAAGTTGTCTTAAGAATATATGCCTCCTTGAATCTGAATAAATGATGCCTTGATGGGAAAATATAGTAGCACATTCTAACCGATCAAATAGATCATTGATCCTTGACAATGGATATTTATTCTTGATTGTCACCTTGGTCAACTCTATATAACAATACATTGTCGCATGGATTCTTCTTTCTTCTTAACAAACAATACTAGAGCACTCCAATATGAATTTTTTGGCCTGATAATATTCTTATCTATTAGTTCCTGCAACTGACTTTTCAGCTTTTGCAATTCCTTTGGAACCATCATTTAAAAAGACTTGAAATTGCATATAGGACTATGAAATTGGCTCGAAGATCGTAAATCGCTCGTAAATTGAATCAAAATTTAGCTAGGATCGAAATCGACTCGAAATATTATAGTCGAGCTAAAAGCCAAATTATTTCGATCTATCCTTGAATCAGGATCAAATCAATTTATAAATTAATCGA